TTCATCTCCAGTCATATGGTTACTGCACCCGCTATCTAGAAACCAAATATCATTTTTCTCTTCTGATGTTGCATGTGTTGCATAGAATAGCAAATTTTCTCTTTTTTTCATTTTCTTCAGAGAAATTTGCTTGATATCTTTTAGTGCGGCAATTTTTCTCCATATGACTGAATTTACCATAATTTTTACATTGTGGTTTATCTCAGTAACAACAATCCTTCTCAAGATGGTTGGTCTTTTTGCAAACTCCACAAGGTGGAAATTTTTCTTTTTGTTGATTATTATTATTATTTCCACCTTGATTTTTATTTTTGCTATTTTCTCCAAATCTTCTCCCTCCAATTTTAGAATTTTGAGACCGTAAATTTAGTTTTGACTGAAATGCATTTTCGACTGTATCATTTTCACGTATACTCAGTCTTTTTTCATTGGCTTCAAGTGAACCTATTAATTCTGTCACTGACAAATGATCCAAATATTTAGTTTCTTCAGTCGTGGTGACGATAGAATCATACTTGGCTTGTAGAGTAATTAAAATTTTTTCTGCCACCCTTTTGTCAGTAATATTTTCTCCATATGCTTTTAATTGATTTACTACTTCTCTTAATCGAGAGTAGTAATCTTTTACGGTCTTAGATTCTTTCATCTTCATATTTTCCAAATCTCTTCTTAGAGTTTGTAATTTCAGATGACGTACCATGTCACTACTATGATATTCTTCCTTGAGAGTATCCCACGCCTCCTTTGATGTCTGTGCTCCGCTAATTCTTGGAAACAGGGACTTCGTCATGGCCATTTATAGTGTGAAAAGAGTCAAACTGTCTTTTTCCTTCTCCCGGTCGAATTTTTCTTCGTCCGCCGTAAACAAAGTGGATACTTCATCGGGGATAGTATACCGTTCTCGACAATATTCCATAGGCCTTGAGACATAAAATATGTTCTCATTTTAATGGCCCAGTAGTTATAATTTTCGCCGAAAAAAATAGGAATTGGTATTTGAAGGGCGTTTTGGGAAGTGACCATAATAAAGATTTATAAGGGTATGTGAAAATGGGCTATTTGGACAAGATATATAAAAATGGGAGGATATGTGAAAATAATTTCGCCCAGCTATTGATCCAACCGACTCTGATACCACTGTTGGTATCAAAAATAATTTGTAATTGTAATTAGATAAAATTGTAGTAAAGAAGAAAATTTTAGTAAAGAAGTTAATGAAGACAAAAAGCTGGAAATGTTTTCTTAATCAAAATCTGTTACGTACACATTCAATCCGAGCACACATATATTTATGAAGTAAAAGAAATCTCTACAGTCCAATTATTACAATTGCCAACTAATGACAACCAATCTAATTAATAATTGATCAATATTACAACTAATGACAACCAACTTCCAGCTAATTTATTAAATGAGCATAATTTTAACAAAATTACGCTAAAATATGGTGAAAGGGTGGGGGAAAAATGACGAAAGGTTGCTGACCTTTTAGAGGCCCACTGAGGGGTAAAACGGTATTTTGACAGGCTCATGCAGTGAAATAGAAACAAATAGCCGTAGAGCTGTCGCATCTAATACACTTATGTCATCTTAAACGAAATTTGGGTGAACATGCAAAAATACAATACAAAGGAAATTGGCGCAATTTTTAAATTACAAATACGCATATTTCATATACAAGAAGATACTGTATATTTTACCATTCGAGTAAGAATATATATAGCTAGATTTCTTTCTGTCTTACTTGTTATGCTTTCAACTTACCAAAAAAGTCTGAGTCCGAGTCCGAGTCTGAGTCCGAGTCCCGAGTGCGAGTGCAAATTCGGACAACCTTCATGCGTAGGCCATTATAAAAGAACAAAGCTCAACATAGTCACTGAATATTTTCTCAATTGAAGATAATATTCGTTTTATTTTATCTTGTCGGCCCTTTAAAAATTGCAACAAGAGGCGTGGAATAAAAAATTCCATGAGTAAACAAAATTGTGACAATAAATATTCTAGCATTCGGGTAGGTGAAAAAAGATAATTTATCAAACTAAAATAAAATGGACCCCAATTTATGTCGCTTAGTTTTTCCTTCAATTTAGGCGTGCATTCAATTAAGACTAGTGAGGTATGGGGATAATTTTATTAAAGCAATCATTTATATTTGGATGATTGGAAAAATATAAAGTATTGAAATAAAACAAAATGCAACTTATATATTATTAAACATAAAACAATGTAACTCTGCGTAAACTATATCTAAGATAAGCTTGACACCTATATATATTAGGATTCTAAATAGGGTTAAATAAATCAATTAAATTATTTAGCAGAATATATATGATATATAATTTATACTGGTTTTCACGTCTTTCTTGATAATCTATAACCTTATTATTTTAAAATTGTAAATTACTTAATTTAAGGAAGAAAAAAAAATTGTGTATGTGTATACAATCAATTTCAAATTTGTATTCTATAGGATTAAACAAAACCCAAATTTTTAGGATGTTCCAATCCTATTTCATTTTGATTTCCAAATTAATATTATCTAACTCAATTTTATGTTTAAAAATAAAATCGGAACTAAAGATAGTAGTAGCCAATTGAGATGATATTTTTTAATTTTAGTTATCAATTTGAAATTTGGCCAATTTCTGTGCAAATCAACTTTTTTTTTTTGATAATCATGATCTGTTGCAATTAGGTAAAGTTACATTTTATAGTATTTTTCCTAATTCAAAATTCTCGATTTTATGGTAAATATATTTTTTTAATAAAAAATGAGAGAATTTTGACGTTTACAAAATTGTCATGTCAAATTTTATATAAATTAACCTGATTTCTATGCAATCCATTTTTTTAATAAACAATTGATTTGTTGCAATTAAGAAAAAATAATGCGATAATCCCTAATTCAAAATTCTCGACTTTATGGTAATAAGTTTTTTTTATTTTATTACAAAATGAGAAAGCATTTTGACTTTGCAAAATTATAAGCATTAGTCGACATTTACCTAAATCAAATGCACAAAATCCATAAATTTAAGGTGCATATATAGCTGCTCGATCTTTTGGGAATAATTTAAAAAAAAATTAAAAAACTGCCGAACATAGAATGCAATAAATGTTGATTGTCTTTTCTTGTTAATATTTTTAGTAAATAGGTTCTCTCTTTATATATGTATAGATTTCTAAAGATTTTTAAGGCTTTAAAAATCCTGCAATTTTCATTGGATTGAAACATCCGAAAAATGATTAATTTGCAATTCAAAATAAAATTGGATTGAAACATCTTAAAAATTTTGGGTTTTGTTTAATCCTCTAGAATACGAATTTGAAATTGATTGCATGCACTTACAAAATAAATAAGGATTGCATGCACTTACAAAATATCGTATATATCTTGCTAAATAATTAATTGAGCTTTTTAAGCTTATCTCGAATTTTAATATAATTTGTGGTGATAGACAATGTATCAAAAGACCAACAAATAATGTTGTGCACAAGGATGCTTTTAATAATATAAAAGTTAAATTTTGTTTATTTCAATACATGCACGTTATTTCAATCATTTAAATCTAAATATTTAGGGCTTGATTGTTTATGAGTTAATTTACTCACTTTTATTTCAACTCAAAATTGAACTCAACTTTAACTCAATCCCACTATCTTTAATATTATTCATATAATTAAATAATACAAACCAATCATTCTTACACATCACATCAACTTTAATTCACTGTTCATCCACTCACATAATTTTAACTACCTATCATTTACAATTATTTCTAATCATTTATCTCTTACTTTTATATCAAATCAATTTTGATCATCTTATTTTAAATATTATTTTAATACATTCTTAAAATTCCACTAACAACTAACCATATCACCTTTTACAAATTAACTATGGTTAACCAAAATAACTCATTTTGAACAAATTATTTCATAAACAATCAAGCCCTTACTTTTTTTTGGTACAATAGAAGAGGCTAAGCGCCTAATGGGTGATGGTGGAGATGGTTCGTGCATGTGCCACGCCAACAATATCGTGATGTAGCCATGGACGAACACCCTCCGGCGGAGCGTTGAAGAATCGATACCCCAAAGGGTCTTCCGCTGCGAAGGAGGCCATAGAGTCGGCCGCGTAATTCGCCTCACGGAATACATGTTGTACTTTCACTTCCCAAGGACGACTCAAAAGTTCCTTGATTCCCGACACTAACCCCATATGCACGCCCGGAACATCATCAAGAGATTGAGCAAAGGCCACCACACTAGCATTGTCAACCTCCGCTTCCAGGTGTCGATACCCCAGCTCCCAAGCAAGTGAGAGTCCTTGAAACAAACCCATAATTCTGCCGCCATGATCGAGCATAGGCCTATGTGCATTTTAAATCCGCCAAGCCAGTGCCCTTGCTCATCCCGAATCAAGCCCCCCGCACTACCCATGCCAGACGACGGATTAAACGAACCATCAGAGTTAATTTTAACCCGGCCTGATATAGGCCTTTCCCAACTGATCCAGTGAGATGTTCTGGGCCGGCCCATCTCCCCAATCTAAATATTTACTTTGATAAAATTAGCCCGTGCAAATGCACGGGTACCACACTAGTAAAAGTAAAAAAGAAAAACGAATTACAGCTGGTCGGCAATACCTGAAAAGTCCAATTGAAGTGCCAAACATAGTCAAAGTTTTAGTCCAAAGTCATAATTAAATAAAGTGAGAGAGTACACGGCCACCAATCGAATCATCCACACGATCAACGTGGGGATTTTCAGTGGACGTCCGACATTCCTTTCATTTTTTTTTTGGTATATTAAAGAAAAAATAATAATAAAAAAGAATATTCTCTCTCCTCTTCCCCATTCCCACCGTCCACAACACACTGTTTTAAACACTCCACATTTTGCCTCTCAAAATCTCTCTCTCTCTCTCACGAACACACACTCAACAACGGGCAAACTAAGCCGATCGTCTGGTTGGCAGCCGGCGGGTAGCTCGGGAAATGGCTGAAACGACGCCGGATGGAGCTGTTCCGTCTCTCTTTTCTCCTTACGATATGGCCGGCTTCAAACTCTCACACAGGTTCCCTTTCTACAATTTTTTTTTTTTCTGCTAAATCGCGATTTTTCGATCACGATCTGTGTTTCATGGTCTCCGATCACGATCGGCTAAATTATGTTTTTGTTTTTTCGATTATTTTGAAGGGTTGTGCTAGCACCGATGACCAGATGCAGAGCGCTGAACGCCATGCCCAACTCTGCCCTTGTTGAGTACTACACGCAGAGGGCCACAAATGGCGGATTTCTTATCACAGAGGGAACCATGATTTCCCCTACAGCCGCTGGGTAATATCGTAATTGATCTCGTGCATTTCTGATAATGGTGATGGTGATAAGTTATTCAATAGTTGGGGATTCAATTATTGTTGATATTGTGTCTAGTAACCCACCTGTAACACTAATATTGCTAGATCAAATTGGTTCAGATGCTCCGTGACAATTCATTTTAGTTCCCTAATTTTTGTGAAAATGTGTTTTTTGATATTCAGAAAATTGTACGATAAGGCATAAACACATATGATTAATTGTTTGGTGGATGTGGGTCCTCCACAGGTTCCCGCATGTGCCGGGCATCTTCAACAAGGCGCAAGTGGAGGCGTGGAGGAAAGTGGTGGATGCTGTGCATGCTAAAGGTGCTGTTATATTCTGTCAGCTGTGGCATGTGGGCCGGGCTTCGCATCCAGGTACTGCACCTCATTTGATGGATCATATTCGATTTTGAGCAGTTGCTATGCCTATGCAGTTGTCTATAAAAAATCCGTGTTTAAGTAATAGTTTGTCTAGGTTGTCTTTGCAGGTGATTTCTGATCCTTGATTAATGGTTATATGCGTATTGGCTATTGTATTGATTGGTATCTAAAGAAAGTTAGCACATCAACCACAAAATGTTAAAATTATGAACATATATGCCGGATTCTTTAGCTTTAAACTTTTCATCGTACATCGAAGAGTTGCATGAAACATGCCATACAAATGTTGTGAGTGGTCCGTATGTGTTTGCTTGTTGTGCAAAGATCGACTTTAATCCAGATGGTTTTCATGGGCTCTTTGTGTGAGGAAATCATGTTATGTCACATGGGATCTCAGTTTTGCATTTGATCAGTTATTTAGCATATGCTTCGAAACTAATGGATTTTTCGTGGGGGTAACGTAAACAGAGCTTCAGCCTGGTGGAATAGCCCCAGTATCCTCCACTGACAAGCCAATATCCAAGAGGTGGAGAGTATTGTTGCCTGATGGAAGCTATGGAGTTTATCCCGAGCCACGCAAATTGGAAACCTACGAAATACCCGAGCTGGTGAGACAATATCGACAGGCGGCCATAAATGCCATTGAAGCAGGTCAGTCTATTTCTTCATGCTGTCATGCAGTTACCTTTTATACCAATATGCATGCAGAAATCAAATCAATGTTTCCGTTGCCCGATTCTACGTCCTATCCTAACTCTAAAACTGAACGATCCATATGATAAAAACTTGGATGATACTTCTATAAAGTGGACGAAATTGTAACCATACAAGGAAATCTTTTCCAATGATTAAACTGCTTATCAGAGTTATGGTGTAATTAGCAAGCTTGAAGTTTGCCCCTCACGTGACACGGAACTGGAGTAATCGGTATAATCAAGTTTATGTATAGGATCACAAATTTGATTGTTTCGATTATGGAGTAACTAGCAAATTTGGAAACTTGAAGAGTTGCATGAAATTAGCAAACTTGAAGGTTTGAAACATGCCATAAAAACCCACACATCTACCTAAAAATGTTAAATTATGAACATATATGCCGGATTCTTTAGCTCTTATTTTTTCCTTGTATAAGGAAGAGTTGCATGAAACATGCCTTACAAACTCAGAATGAAGAAAACTTCAACTCTTGTTTCGATTATGGAGTAACTAGCAAACTTCAAGAGTTGCATAAAAATTCTTAGGATCACAAATTTGATTGTATACCTGATGCATTACATGATTAGTTAGCCCTTGTATTCGATGATTTTGAAAATTGCAAGCTGAATTTTCGCTGAGGATTTTCTTTTGTACATCTTTTTTGGTCAACTAAAATACTAACCAGTGTTCAGAACAGGCTTCGATGGCATCGAGATCCACGGAGCCCACGGCTACCTAATCGACCAATTCACAAAGGACGGCATCAACAACCGCACGGACGAGTACGGAGGGTCACTCCATAACCGCTGCAAATTCATCATACAAATCGTCCAATCAGTGGCCTCAGCCGTGGGGCCAGCCCGGGTCGGAGTTCGTATCTCGCCCGCAATCGACCATCTCGACGCCGTGGACTCGGATCCTCTTGCACTGGGCCTGGCCCTGATCGAGCGGCTCAACAAACTTCAAGCAGATTCCGGATCGAGGCTCGCGTACCTGCACGTGACGCAGCCTCGGTATACAGCCTACGGGCAGGCAGAGCCCGGCCGGCACGGAAGCCCAGACGAAGAGGCCCGTATGATGCGGGCGTGGCGTGGGGCCTACGAGGGCACGTTCATTTGCAGTGGGGGGTTCACGAGGCAGCTGGGGATGGACGCGGTGGCTGGGGGTGATGCAGACTTGGTGGCTTACGGGCGGCTGTTCATTGCGAACCCGGATTTGGTGGAGCGGTTGAAGTTGGATGCGCCTATGAATAGGTATGTTCGGGCGACTTTCTACACGCATGATCCTGTCGTGGGGTACACGGACTACCCTTTCTTGGGAAACGGTGGCGGTGGGAAAATCGGACTGGTTTCGCGTCTGTGAATCGGGGTGTTGTTGTTGTTGTTGTTGTTATTGGTATTGTTATTATTTTGGGAGGCTAAAAGGTTTCCTACTTATCAGAAAGGTTTAGAACGTATGCGTGTGTTTTTGCTGATGGAATAACGATATATGGGATGGTGTGAGGAGTCTGGTTTTTGCTGCTGGACTGAATCCTGTAAAAGCTGAGTTTTAACTTTTAAGCTCAGATAGTTTCGGTTCACGAATTTCGTAATCGTGTAATAAAAACTACTCCCTCCTATTCATATTAAATGTCGTTTTGACTTTTTTGATTCATCCATTTTGTTATGTATCTAGACATATTAATGTTTAGATACATAACAAAATGGATGAATCTTAATATGTCTAGATACATAACAAAATGGATGAATCAAAAATGTCAAAACGACATTTATTATGAATAAGAGGTAGTAGTCTACATGCTTTTGCATCATTTTTATAGTCTTTCAGCAATCTTATACTTTACGGACGGAAAATCCAAACTGGGGTAGTCTTGTCGAAGGACTATTTGGAGCTAATCTTTATAACTAACTAGTGGTGATACCCGAGCGATTCACGGGGTGCAACAGAAAGAAATGTTTTTTACTTAAATACTATAAAATTATTTAAGACAATATAAAATTCTATTTTCCACAATATCCTATTAAGTAATAATATGACATTTATTTATTCACTATTGTTGTTAATTTTTATTTTTATATATTCTTTTTGTAGCTTTTGATTGTTTAATATATAAATTTTATTATTGATTAGTTTATAAAAAATATTATAAATGTATAAGATCATATGATATTTGCATACAAATTACTTGTATGTACTGATAAATTCCGTTTATCATAGTCTTATAATGTTTTCAATAATTCATAATTTGACCAATGTTTAACCCATAATATTTATCTTCCGCTATAATTATTAAGTGCATTAAATGTTCGAAACTTTGATAAATAAATTTTAATTTTTAGTAACTTTAACCCTTATGCAACACATATATTTTTATGGTTAAATATTTTATTTTTATGTTTTTATTTATATTTATATTTATTTTTCTAATCTATTTTTTCAACCTATATAATGAGTTATATGATATCTATTCGAATATTTAGATATATTATATATTTACATAATTACCAAGTGCTATACTTTATATTATTATACATTGCTTTTTAATTAACTTAATTTTTCTTCATAAAATAGTATATAAGAAAAAATATATAATTATGAATTGCACCCGACCATCAAATTTTATTTTTATTAATATATTATTTAAATTTTCAGAATAGTATTATATCATATATTCAATGGGATGTATCTTTTTATAGTTAAATTGACTACATTTTAGAAACTTTTATTAATATTTTATATTATTTATTAAGTTATTATGATTTAAATATAGTTATTCTTATTATTTTATTAAATATTTTAAGTACTTATAAATAGTGAATATAATTAATTAGATTAATACCTACAACCATAGATGATAATATATTTAATCAAATCAATTTCCATAATAATTTTTTGAATTGTATCGATAAATTACTATTAAATTAATATAATATCTTATTGAAATATATCTAATAAATATATTGTCAAAATTTCAATTTAAGCCAATTCGAAGTTAATGAGTAACAATCATTGAGTGTATAAAAATTAAATCAAATGCCAAATATAGACGAAAAAATTTCTCGCCTAAAATCATGACAATTATGGCAATAATGATTGGTCAATTATATAGATATAGATATAGATTGCAAGAGCACAAAAAGAGAATAAAACCTATTCATCTTATTGAGATTTTAAACAAAAATTCACAAAGGCTATATGTATAGATGATTTGAAACTATAGATTACAAATTTACAAGTTCAAATCCTCATATATATGTTGGAGTGATAATATATGTTGGAGTGATAATAGAAGTTGGATGATTTTAAATTCACCCTTGTTAGACTTTAATCATTATTTTATAGGATTTTAAATTTCTCAAACATATTAGTTTGAAAATTACTGTTTATCCCACAGTAGACGAGCAAACGACGATCATACCGTCTGCGAGTATAAATTTTCATTTCGATTTATTGTGTTTTTAGCTCGGCCCAATAAATTAACTCGCTAACCCATCAATATATTTCACTTATCTTTTTAAGCCTAAACACTAGAAACACTACTCTAATAAAATAATATATATTGTTGATTTATCCTTCCCAATAGGCACAAACCTACAAAACACCAATATACACCAAACTCCAATCAAATAAATCAGTTAGAGCCCCTCCTCTAAACACCGAAACAATGAATTTAGAAGAACAATAAATACATAAATAAACTATTCAACAGGAAAGAGATTATTTTCAAGAAGATGATTTAATTTCTTCTTTAATAACTTTTACTCGATAGTATTTGTTGATTTCATTTTAAATAGTAAAGAGGCTTGCGACTTCTCACTATTGCATCAATGGCCGCAAGAAGCATTAGAGCAATCACAGAAACACGAGCTCTTTCTGGCTGGTCGGCTCTAGTTCGTTTGATATTCTTGTGCTTGCTGCCAGCTTTAACTGATGCTCGGCCGCTCACTATGCTCCCCATGCTACTCACTCTGCGTTGAGGTGCCATTTGGTACTGAAGAAGCGTAGCTATGGTGTCCAGGCATACGGAGAGCACAAAGGTTTCAAGTTTTGCATTTGGTAGAAGCCCGAGACAAATATGACCGGCTCGTTCAACCGCCAATCGAGACAAATCATAACGGCAGAAGTAAGAGCGAATCTGAAAAACTCCCTCACCCCTCCAAATATCCTCTTAGAAATGTGGCGGCCCGTGGCTCAAAATGAGTTGGTAACTAAACATATGATACCCCAAATTTACGGTTCTTCCCAAATATTGATCGCAAAAAGACCAATTGAAATCCCAAAAAGACCTCACTATTGACGGAAGATAGTCATCTTTGGATTGACAACGCACGTACGGTTAACAATCATGAACACGATCTTAGAAGGGTTAACATAACTTTTACTCGATGAAGTTTGTAAGATATTGAAATTTTCAATATTTCACAAACTTTATCGAGTAAAAATGTCTTCAATATCTTACAAACTTCATCAAGTAAAAGTTTGTGGAATAACGAATATACTAGGACGGCTTTTATCATGACAATTTTCATTACTCTCTGTAAATCCTTCTAACAAAACCAAAGGGTTCGTATATAGTTGGAAACTTTGAAGATTGAAAGATATAAGAAGCTTGTTAACTGGGCAAGTAAATGAAAGCAAGCTCAATTACAGTGCCTATGGCAATTTCAACATGATTATGCGACGTAACAAATTTGAACTACTTCTGCCATATTTTATAGTACTAAAACTATTGCAAAATGAATGACATAACTACCATAATAAAGTTGAGAAATGAATTATGAATGATATGTACAACCACCTGAAGTTTAACTGATCAGTTAACCTACTCATATAGAGCAAAGATTTTACGTAATGAATGCTATCGTATATTAAATTAAACCGAAATTCATGTGCATAGTGTTGAGATTATGATGGTTGATGACGATTTGTGATGAACGTGCATGAGGTTTAATCATGCAGGAAGAAGTTTTAGTTTTTAATCTATGTTATTTGTTTTTGTGTTACATCGCGGTTCACTTATAAACGCGCATTTTCTCTCTTTCCAATTTCTTTTATGTTGTTCGTGCGTGTTGCTCACTCGCTGGGCACACGTGTTGCTTTCTTATTGGTCTCTATGATAATATTATATATTATATTGCTAGCTGTGGGTTTTGTGGATCTGTGTATGAAAACTTGAGCTTGAGCTCACCATTAATGGCGATTTAATTTTTCCAGTTATATTTCTCGTTTTACTTGAGTGAATATTAAGTTTAGCTCTGCTCTTCACATAATACACATTAATTTCTACGAAAAATGACTTAATTAAATTGTTAGTTCTTACGTGAACAAAAAATTTATGGAGCCATCGGATGATTTTCTTATGGAGTCATCCATCACTTAATGTATTGACACCTGTGCAAATTGTATTTATAACAGGACACGTGTCAATACACTATTGATGAATAAATGTAGATGACTCCATATGTCGAGCCATCCGATGGCTCCATAGCAAAACTTTTTATATAAAACTTACAAATGAAAATAATTATGGTGGGATTAAGATATATATATATATATATGAGTAAACCTCAACTATTATTACATGGTCAAGATGGTTGATGAAATAGGAAGAAATTAATGGTTAAATATTGAGCAGTTCATTAATTCGCACTATTGTCATCACTATTTAGCGTTATATCACTGCTATATTTTTACTGTCATTTGATGCTGACATTTTTCGTCTTTGATCTACTTATGTTTTTCACTTCAGAAAATTAATAGTAATTTTCATGATTCTTTTTCATCATTTTAATGGCAATATTTTGAAATATGAGCTTCTCATCGGGATTTGCGGTGTACTTTAACGATTCTAACCGTGGATCTTTCAACATTTGAAATATGAGTGAAAATAAAAATTTTAATAAAAAAAATTGTACATTCGAACGGATATTCCCACGGTAAAAAACTATTGAAAAAATAGTTGTTGAAATCATCAAATTCGATTAAAAATTCCAATGGAAAACTCTGGAATTTCTGTTGGATTCATTTCAACGAAAACTATATAACATTAAAATATGCATTTGAATTTTCATTTAAATACATTACAGATAGATTTTTGGTATCATCGAAAAGATCACAATAAGCATCGTCATTCTCATTCATATTCTTTGGAATCACAAACGTGGCTTCTGGGATCCAAAAAACCGTTTATGGGATATTTCTACCATTTCTGAGATCCAGAAATCGTTCTACAAATGGTTTTTAGATCCCCAGAAATGGTTACGTTTTTTATCCCAGAAATAGTGTACACGATTTCTGGGATCCCAGAATCCGTTTCTATAAACCGTTCATTTCTGTTATCCTATAAATGATGTACAAGAAACCGTTTCTATGATCCCCGAAATTGTTTTTTAGAATCCCAGAAATTGTTTTTGGGATCATTTTTTTTTTATGAATTTTATGATTTGTTTTGAAAAATAGAAATAGGGGTATCGTTGTCTTTTCAAGTGGCAAAATGGTTAAAAAAACATCATTTTACCAAACATGGCCAAATTTTATGTTTTGCACTTCAAAATGGCTAAAAGAAATCACTGTTAAGAAAATATTATAGTTTCCCACTTTATTTTTCTATAGTTACATTATAATTAACTATTTTGTTCTCACTATCCTTATCAGGTTTATTGGTATTGGTAAATTGAATAATTGATTGCCAAAAAGTTCACCAGCAAGCAAAATCTGCAAACAAAGTAATAAATGAATGGCAATCAGAATACTGAGTAAACAACAACTCTAAGCAACAGCATGGCCACCCCATAAGTGACTACAATAAAAGTGCAAAACAAAATAATAATAAAAAAAAAAAACAGAGAAAATAAATAAATTAAATCACACACACAAACCACAACACACACATTCCAAATTACAGTTACAATAACTACTATTATATATACTAATTTATGCTTCTTCATCCACTGCCCATATAGCCTTGCTCCTCATCATCTTCTCATCAAACTCCATTTTCTTCACCTCCTTATTATTCTCCTTCGTCTCGGCCGCATCCAATCCCTCGTACTCCCTAGCCATGCAGCAGCTCACCGCGCAGCAGAGGATCATAACCCCGAGCTGCACCGCGAACATCGCCATCAGCACCCCACACTCCAGCCTGGCCAGGGCCTTGGCCTCCCGCGGGTCCCGCGGGGACTTGAGCATCGAGAGGCTCGACTTCTCCCGAGCGAAGAGGGCCACGATCCCGAGCAGCTGGGACGCTGACGAGGCGATGACGAGGGAGACGTAGGCACGGAAGCACGAACGGGCGAGACAGGGACAGAGGCCGATGAAGGCTGACGATAGGGAGAGTGCCGAGACGGCGAGGAAGGCCCAGCCGAGGAAAGAGGGCGGCAGGCGGAGGAGGAGGGTGGGGCCCACGGAGGCGGCCGAGAGGAGGACGAGGGCCAGGCTGAACAATGACATGAGGAGGTCGAGGAACGAGCACGAGCTTCTAGGTTTCGATGAAGCCATTGTTCTTTTTTTTTTTCCTTCTTCTTGTTTTATATTTGATTTGAAGGGGAATTTTTTTCTTTGGTTTCTTTGTTCAAGGTTGAATGAAATGGAGGAGGGGGGGTGTTTAAATGGGTTAATTGAAAATATTTGGCCGTTTGAAAGAGGGGTAGTTTTGTTTGGATTTGGCAACGGATAGATTATAAAGAGGCTGTGGACTTGGGTGGGTACCCCCTTCTTTGGATGTCTTCCCTCTTCTTTGTGTTCAAAATTCGAATTGATTTGCAGTTTGGGTTTTGTTAGGCTTGTGGAATTTAGTTTGACGGGCCTACCACTGGCCACCGGGCTGGCCCGCCCTATTTCCCGTAATCAACCCGGATAAATAGTCCTCGTCCCCGAAAAAAAAAAAAAA